CGTTTTTTTTTTTTAAATACTTGAATCACGTGTCAGCAGTTTGACATTTGCTTGGATATTTGGTTTAAGTATTAGTTGTATGTCTTAACTGATGAAGGCGATAAACCAGGACAAGCGTACCTATCTTAATTCTTAAAGGGATTACTCTGTGCATTTTTGCTATCGATAAAGAACTTTATTTCAAGTTATCAATTTGAAATTCATCAGCAGACGACATTCTAAATTTACAATAAAATTCAATTACATTTAATTTTAATATGCATAGTAATACAGTTTTACTTCATTTTCATTCGTTTGTGGAATTATTCAACATTTCCCAAAAGGCAAAACTTGGACAATTCCTATAAGAGCCAGGTGTGAAAGTTACATTCACTGTTGTGAAATTTACAAAAGGTGTGACCTTTGTAATTGCTCATTTCCCTCATTAGGAAAATATGACAGCGGCCATATGTGTTTATTATCATCCCAAGTCTTTAGGGACAGAGGTCGATATTCAAAGTAAATTATAAACGCTTAATGAACAATTATTATCAATAAAGATAATAATTTAATGCAATGCGACAATTGCTCAAAGGTCAATGACGCAATTAGGTCACCGCAAGGTACATTCTGCGTTCGATATGCAATCTTATCTTTATTCCATCAATTCGATTTGTTTATAATTTACTATGAATGAAAATGCCGAATGGGTAATTCGATTAAGATGATGTATTGTTTAAATTTTAATGTTACATTGTTAAATATTTACTACATTTGGGAATACTAGTTGTGTTCCGTGTTGTCATGTATACAGCAACAATACTCTAGCTTTTGTAGTTAGGTTCAGTTTAAAAGATTAAAAATTCTGTAATGCTTATTCTTGAATATGTATACATTAACATATAGTCACAGCTTATTTCAATTACGTTTCAAGAAGTACATGTAATTTCTTAATTCTGTTCATTAGAATATTTGCCCAACCGTAATTTTGAAAGTTGAAAGTGAAATTTAAACACACGTACTTACATGAACAAATTCTATTTTTATTACTAAATGTTCAGATAAAAAAGTGTATAAAAATAAATTCGCTTTTTGGGAAGAGTATCTTCAGTTAATGTGGCTTATTCTGTTTGCATTTGTAAATCAATTCTGTAATATCAGTGAACTTGTCAACAATTCGGTGAACCATATTGTCATACGCTATGCACTATTTTGCTGCGCTATGATCTATTATGTTTCGCTGTGCACTATTTAGATACGGTGTACACTATTTTCTTATGCTATATGCATACTGCAATTATAAATGCAAGCCGGAAGTGCTTTTAGTCTCTATAATATTCTGTATAAATGATTCAGAAAATTTTCCAGTTCTTACTCGTTTTGATAAATTACATTATGTTTACGAGAAAATAATAGATTATGAATTGTAAATTGTCTGGAAATGTTTGTAGTATAACTTAGCTTATAGATCATAATAACAATGTTTTTGTCATTCTTTACCCTTGAGATGTCTTATAAACCATGACTTGTGAAACTAAAACAAAAGCTTAATTTATCAAAATAACTAATATTCACAATTAATGCATCAAAATATAAAGCGCAGGGACTTCCGGATATCCCACAACGGCACCAATGACAAATAGAATAGAATGATTGGCCTGAATGAAACAGGTTCAATGGAGAAGTAGGGATATGGTGTATTTATTCACGGCACAAAATACATACATGTCCTTGACAAAACCCATAGCAAAGGAACAATGCTTGTATCATTGTTCTTCATCTCCATGTCCCATTGAGGCCTTCATTACGGATCAAAGATCACACCCTACCCCATGTTCATGATGTACCCCTTCAAGTTCACCGACTTGAGCGAAATGTTTTGTTCGATGTCCATCATGCTATAAATATATGTACTGAGGCACACACGTGCAGGGAAGTAACAACAAACTAAAGAATGTCACGGGCAAAAAACATCTAAACCAAACTGCCATAACTGCCCTACGATCTCATAAAAAATATAAAACCTTGCAAATGTATACAACAACCGGACACATCAATATATGTCATAATTTCCCATGAAAATACAATCTCATCTTTGAATATAACATTCAGACAAGGAATGATAGAATTGAACAGAACAAATTTCCACTGGAATTGGTCAAACTGGGTGGCTACCCAACTCTGGCATTTTATAGCTTGCTATGCGTTGTAGGTTTTGCTCAAGGCCGTACGATGATGACCTATGTATATAGTTACGAACGTCTATGTCTCATTGGCAATCATACAACATCTTCTTATTTTGAAAAACATGCACTTTAGTTGTCAGGATCTTAAGTTAAGCAATTTGGAATCTCTCGTGAAATCTCGCGTGAAGAATAATTCTCTTCTTTATCTTTTTGATTTAAACAAATATCGCATGCAAATGTAACCTTATTCCACTAAACAAAAGTGCAAATAACAGAGAGTACGCCTAAGAATATCCCCCATACCAATTATCTAGTTTTCCGGTACTGAGTTAATTAAAGTTGTTCACAGAATAGTGTTTTAAGTCATAATGTACCGAAAGTTGGTTTGAAGAGATTAGCAATTGTTTTTAGATGATAATAAACTGTATTCTATAGAAAAAGATATAAAAATTATTATATTGAATTGCATAGTTGAACATGACAGTTCTAAAGTCATAATGTACTGAAAGAAGTTTCGAAGAGAATAGATTTGTTTTAAATGAATTATAAATAGGAAAAAATGTAAAAAATAGTGTATTGAATTTCATAGTTTTACATTTCAGTTCTAATATGTAACCGCAATATATCATTTAAGCAATAATACGCTACAAATATTGTATCGCTTTATACATGTATCCGCCTTTTCGACAGCCGTCTGAGCATATATTTCTATTAAAAGCAATATCTAGAAATTATTGTGATATCTTCTTCTATAAACTATAAAATCACAATATTTATGTGATAAATGATAAGATAATATACTAGAACTGTTGGAATCAGTTGCTTTCGTGACGGTTTAATGGTTCTAACAAGAGAAATCCCGACTACTAGTGCTACAGTAAGTGGAACAGGTTCTTTTTTTCCATGTTATTCTTCAATATAAGAACAAATGTCCAAATTATGAACATGCAACATCAACGGAATGAAAATTGCATTCCTCATTCATTAACGTTTTCCGTATCTTACTTGTTTTTGGTCTTTGTTTATAACGCATGCGTACATGTGTTCTTCCTATTCCCGATATACGTTTTAATATATAAATAAAAACACATATAGTATGGTACTAGTACATGCAAATTGTGCAGCTAATCGGAAATGTCTCCGATGAAATGGGCTAAACGTAAAATGCATTAAAAAAGTTCAGTGAAAAGTTATACAACGATATACTGTCTGTTGGAACTGAAAATAGCCTTATCAATAGTGTAAAAATAAACTGAAAATGTTTCTATATTTAAATAGATTTAAATAAGTGTTTCTCTTTTCTCGTTTTTTATATAGATTAGACCGTTGGTTTTCCTGTTTGAATTTTCTTACACTAGTCATTTTGGGGCTTATAGCTTGCTGTTCGGTGTAAGCCAATGCTCCGTGTCGAAGGCCGTACTTTGATCTATAATTGTTTACTTTTTACACATTGTGACTTGGATGAAGAGTTGTCTCTTTGGTACTCGTACCAAATCTCCTTATTTATATTAATCTGCATTCCCTTTTCTCTTGTAATGTATATATACATCTGTATACATGTATGCTTATAATTCGGTACGACAGACGCGAGTTTCGTTTACAGTAGACTCACCAGTGGCGCTCGATACGTACATTCTTAAAATGATTTATTATCGTGGCACAAAACCTTTGGCTCTTTTGTCAGTTTTGTAACATGCCATTTGTCAGTGTTCTTTGAAAATGTAACACATGGAGTACTTGTTGATCAGTCAATAAGAAGACTTATGAATATAAAATTATTTTTCAAGTTTTCAATTGCATCAATTTCTTTTCTCTCCATAGGATAACAAAATAAACGTTTTATTTGTAAAGTCTATTCAAAATCATGCTTTAAAAGTTCTAGTTTTCATGGCATTCAAAAATGTCACAGTTTACAGCTTTAAAATGTATTTATACGAATTCAACCAGGAAGTAAGAAAGTCTAGACTAAAAAATATTAATAAAAGCAAGTATGTTTTATAACTCCAATGTATAGTTATTTATGATATAAACAATATACGCAAAATATATGTGACAATACAAAACAAAACTAAGTGTGTACACTGATAAACAGAAATTAACATGCTGATAAACAGAAATGAACATGCTTGTATTGACATGCAGTTATAGGCTCGGAGACACTAGTGTCCTTTTATTCTTATTAACGACTGCTTTAGGAGAAAACTTAATTGAATGCCATTTTATTTATAACAGTAATTTTAACATTATAAGAAATGATTTAGTACTTTCCTAAAACAACAGAAGGCAGGACTGTCGTAATGTTTAGTCAGAAAAAAACAATAATAGCGTGCAAAAAGGCTGAATTAAAATGTTATAAAAGTATTCGTCATAAAAGTGTTTTCCTGTATATTATGATGGAAAAAGAACGTATGCTTGTTCGATTTAGAATTAATTGTAAAATCATATTCATAATATATATAAATATATATTTTTATACGTATAAATATGTTTTAAAGACTTTATCGTGTATCAAATACTTAATGTAGAATTTTCTTTCTTTTTATTGTCAGTTAATTTGATTATTTGAAATCCTCCTTTTTCACTACAAATTTGCCAAATTAATTTTCATTTTTAGTTTGAAATCACATTTGTATAAATTCTAAAACCTTGAATATATGAAAAAAATGTTGTATTGTATCATTATATTGAAATAATAAGACTGAAATAAAATGAAAAACAACTTTAACAGCAATAACAAAACTTATAAATTAGTTAACTGAATGTCGTCTATCTTTTATCTACTTAAATGAATAAAAGAAAGATACAGAAAAACACGGAAAATCATTCTGTGCTTACCGTTATTTGTGTCCGGTGTTTTACGTTCCTCTTAAAATGTTACAATTACAAACGTTTTCTTAATTTATTGCTCTTCTTAAATGGTTAAGTGTGATCGTCCCATCTAAAGCTTATTCCATTTAAGTAACGATATTATCACGTGACCTGATTCAGCCTCCGAACCCATTGCCAATAAGAGTAACGACTCCCCCATAAATCGATAAACCGTCTTCTATGCGTTTTGTAAACACGCAAATAAATGGATAGAAACAAAAACAAGAAGGCACCCTGCAGATTTTGTAAGGAATAATTTTTAGAAAATTTACCAAATTATCTCATCCATTTCCATTATTCAACAGAGCCAAAAGAGACAGAAATAATTATATGTTTTGGAAGGACGAAGGAAAAACAATTATAAAATCACGCGAATTGCACATTATTTTTTACGTAAAAGACAGAATTCATGAAGCATACTCGCATATCTTAATCCGTCCAAATTAAACATTTTAGGAGCAATCTCTTCTTTCTAATTGGTAATTTGTCTAAGAGGTAAACTGTTTAATAATTTTACTTATTTTGCTCTCATACGTATGACACGAAACACGATCTCAATATCAAGATTTTTTTATTTAGTTTCAATCTAAAAGAACAATGAATACGACAAAAAAAATATCTTTATAAAGATGATTTTTTTACACATATCTATATTATTGATATATTACCAGCCATCACTTTAAAGTTAGACCGGCGAGTACTTTAAAGTGAACTATTCTGTAATTGCCTTAAAATTGTTCACATTATGATATCACTAATTTTATTTTAGCTTGGATGTATGTCAATGTCACAAGCAAGACTTTTTGAAAAGGAATTCGGGGACTAGAAAAAAATTGAAAATAAATGTTTTGATATGCAACTGAAAATAATAGATAATCTTTCAAAAGGCAGTCCAAAAAAAATATTCTGACCAAGAAAAGTTTAAGATAGTTGTGTACGAAAAATAAAAAAAAAAATTCGTTTCAGTATTCTAGCAAAAAGTGAATAATCGTTACTGGCTATGATTGAAAAGAAATGCTCTTACGAAAATAATCATCCTGCCCCTCCCCAAAAGTATCAAACGATCGTCCTATAAAAAGGATAAACCTAACTGATTTAATATTTTTTTTGGAATAATCGTTTTCGTGGAATAAGTGGGTACTGTAGAGGTAAACCACTATGAATGGTAGATTTCAAGTGAATATAACAAAGGAGTAAGTACACGAAGGCTTAAAATAGGCCTTAAGAATTTTTTTAGTTGAGCCAAAATACTACAAATTTCACGTAGAAATAGTCGTGATATAACTATTAATACAAAATAACTTCATTTTAATGACGAAGAAATGACCCGTCAAGTATCATAATAATGCATTATTTGTGTTGTAACGTAAGTTTTGGTCAAATTTTCAGTAAATCTTAACAGTTTTTAACATAATTTACTTTGGCCGCCATCCCTGATCCAGAAAGTGTTTGTGTTTAGTGATTCAATATCATCATTGACAACTTTAAAATATAGAACATTTTGGATCCTAGGTTGCGGCCAAGGCTTTCCTCAGCCTTTAGGTCCGACAAATACTAACAATCATCATTTTTTGACGATTTATCCAAAATGTGCTAGCTTTGAAGCCTATAATGTACTTTTATGAAGAGATTTGTTTAAATCAAATCTAGTTCTAATGTTTTTGAAATAGATCCATTTAAGAACCAAATTATGTCCATTTTGATATTTTATGATAAAGTTGAATTTCTAGGGTATATCTGACCGTACTTTTCTATCTTCGAAACAGTGTTTAACAAGAACACTTGTTCACCAATATGATCACAAAACTACAATTAACAAGGTATTTGCCGATAATGGTCAAACTTGAAGGTTAGATTAGATAGTTACGGTGCATCGAATCTATTATCTCATTATGACAGTCTACTGTAAACCCACTTATTTTCGCGAGCAATTTATTTTCGCGACTTTCGCGAGTTGAAAAATAACATGAATATAAATTGTCGCGAATTTGTTATAAACTTTTGTCTTCCTTTATATAAGTACGTCAAGAAAATTAGAAAATCGAGAAAATAAAGTCGGCTACGAAGAACTAAACGCGAAAATAAATTGGTTTACAGTATGTCCATCACCTATATTGGTGCTTCGAAACCAACATGGAATGATTAGAAACTTTAAACGTCTAAGCAATGGATGTAAAATATGATGTGATTTTATTTACAATTGTCATTTGCTATGTTATTTGTTGCTTTTAGTCTTGGTGTTTTCAGGCCCCAAAAACTTCTGGTGTTTGCTGAACAAAACGTTATACCCTAAGCAAACATAAAGACCATTTTCCTGGAATAACTTTTATGGCCGCATCTAGTAGGTATCTCTTTCAGTAAATCGTATTGGTAATGTAGACCGAGTCCTTTTAGATCTCTAAACATTCAGCATTTAATATATCATGATGTTTACATGTGTCATACACTGACAACTCAATTATGTTTTTCGTATAATATAAACCTTATATTTTTATGAAGTTCAAGATAAAGAAGCGTTTCAAAACTTAGACGACAATTTACATTTCCTCTACGCTTGTCGTACACGAAACCATAAACCTGCTATGTTAAACATAAAATAATCTAACAATACAGTGCGCTGCTAAAAATATTTAGCAGAAGATGAAACAGCTCAGGGACCGCAATTATTTACAAACATTTGTTTAATTAACTAATAATAGACATATTATCTGAAGTTTATGGATTAATAACTCAAAAAGCTTTTATGTAAAATCCTCTCTGTAAATAACGTGGAAAAGGATTGATTAATTTGGAGATGATATAAACAGCTAATTATTGGTCTTGAGTTTGTAATATCGATATAAGAGACAAAAAAAATGTTCTTCAAAAATGATGTAATCAAAAGCATATTCGAATGCAGATTTTGAAAGTTTTAAATAATGTGAATGAAAGTGGCGTATGCAACGCGGAAGCTTTTCTTGGCTGAAAATAGGTCTTACCGCTAAAATCTTTAAAAAAATATGCATACAATTCATATATTTATAGTAAAAATATATATGTATTCATATAATTATCATATATGCGTAGAGAAATAACTTGTGAATTTATAATAGAAAATTACGTTATATATATTATTAAATTCCAGTAAACATTTTTCGACAAATGTGCTAATCGGACTAAAATGAAAATATTTTCAACTGCGTTATTCTACGAGGCGATTAGTTCACACTCTGCAAAGTCCGGAAAATATACTCCAACGTTACGTTTCAATGAAAACAAGCAACACGGTACGATAAAAGACAAATAAATAGGAAAGAGTAAAGTAAATAAATTATGAAATTAAGTTAAGTTTAAAATATAAAATATGTTTCAGTTAAATTGTTGAACATAATATGCACAAAGACAGTACCGTAAAGTTCAAACTATTTCATCAAATTAGTTCTGTTTTAAATGGTTTTAATACATGTTTTAGAACAAAAATCACCGTTAAACCTCTTTAAGGATGAGCATGTTTAAGTATAATATCTATGGATTAGTATCTGTTAAATATAATTAAATATACTTATATTCAACTGACATTGTAGTTCATTTGTTAACATTTAACTCCCTAATGCAAAGTTGACCTTAGATCAAGTTTGGCCATCCTTGTCAGGTCCCTGTTGGTCATAAAGCTCCTAACGTTCCTACATATGTATACATCCCTGGTTTTCTTATGCTAAGGTTGTGCGTTCCTGATGATAGCAAATCCAGGAAAGCAATTCGGACGCACGAAATAGTTTTTTTTTTAAATTTTCATCTGCAGTATAATTTTGTAATTGATGTTGATATTTTTAAAGGAAAAACATGTTAAGGTGGTACCTAACACTACAGGGAGATAACTCTGTAAAAATCAGCTTAACGTTTTAATTACGTTGTAATGTTAAGAAAATATTAAGCTTCTCAATGATCAAAATTAGTGTTTGTCAAACTGCTATATAACCAAAGAAATTTTTCTGATAAAGTGGTTGGTTCAAATTTTTTGAAATTTTTATATTTTTGTCAAAGGGTCAAAGTAAACATTTTGTCAAAATTTTAGGAAAATTAAACGAGCCAAATTAATATTAGTCAAGGTGTTGGGTACCACCTTAATAAACTTTATATATTTTTCTTAAGCGAAGTAAAATAATTAAAATCTCATGACATGACATTTTTCGTATCAGTTGTATCATCTGACCACAATCGATATCATCACCGAGCCTTTTGGCTCTTGAGACATTATCGTGATCTCTGGCTGATAATACATCTGATATGAACTATGTTGTGTTATAATGTGATAATATATACCATTTAGTTGATATGATTATTGAATTAAAGCAAACTTTAATTAATAGTATTGACTTTTAAATACGAACATTTGACGACGGTTTAAATAGACCACTTTCTAGTTATGTCCTTCACCAGAAAAGTTCATCAATTATGCTCGCCTTTATGACGTCATTTACCAGTTAGAAGGGACCGCCTGTATCCTTGCACTATTAAAGTTTATCAAGCGTCTTCTTGATCGTCATTATGAAGGATAAACTAATAATAATGTTTGTTCCGTAGGTACTTAATCACAATTCCCTAATGACAGCAGTGCTGATTATCAATTATAAGAATTTAATTTGCCGAATAATTCGTGCAATATAGCATCATATTTTTTAAACCACTCGCTCAACATTAAAAGGATAATGCACGAAATGATGTTCACTAAAACCAAAGCTTTTGACGGAAATGCAACGAACTCGAAAGTGGTCTAGAACCTATCGATAGTGATATGTGCTAGTCTTGGTAATCGGTTAAATACGTCTTGAATTATTTGTAAAGTTTTTGTAAAATTCAAATTAGGCACACATTGTAGATATATGTGTAATAACGCACATTGTCGAAAAACGTAAAATAATATTTGCATGGACGAGCTGATACATCAACATTCTACATTTTTTAAAAGTGCATCAAACTTTCTTGTTTTATACCCCGATTTAACATTAACGCTTTACCGTTAATCTTTTGTTTACGAATCGTACTGTTTGCATGATTAAAAAAAATATATAAACTGCTTATGCTTATATGCGAACCGC